TTATCTGTTTGACCAAAAATAACGGAGTATTTTAAGCTCTTTCTGCAGGAAAAAAAATGCAAGAGATTGCGTGGGTGCCTCCATGTCATAAGCACACTATAATAGCCTATTTTAGCTTCCACAGTCTGCTTAAATGCTTGGTGTGAAATGCTTGTTCAGTGAATGTCTAGGCTTACGCAAACAATCTTTGGGAACTGACTGATCTACGTAATTTTATACAATGAAACATTTGAATTAAATTGTGAGTCAAATAATCATGTAATAAAATATAAAAAATCGAGTGGGCAAGTTTTCCCCATATTTATTTTATTATTCATATAAAAAAAAAAATTACCTATTTTGTTCATATTTACTAGGTTATTATTAGTAATTGCCCATGCAGCTACCCTTGTCAAAGACCTAGCGCCCCTGCCACAGAGCAAGAACACTGACAAGGCATTTGAATATTGCTTTTTTCCACTTTCTTTACTTTTGTACAGCCTGTTCCCATCTCCTTGCTTTAATCAATTGTACTCAATATGTGCTTTCAAATCTCTACTATTACTACTAACACTGGTAAATCGTGCTCTGGAGGCAGCGCAGTCCTAACAATATGCGTACTGTCCCTATGTCCTCTACTACTTTACTCTCTATTCCAATTGGTCTCTGGAAGTGAAGCAAAGCAGACTTTATTTAATCTATTGCTACTCATTCATGTCTAAACCTCATGGCCCTAACTGAGACCTGGATCAAACCCGAGGACACTGCCACTCCTGCAGCCCTCTCCACTAATTTCACTTTTTCCCACACCCCTTGCCCGGTTGGGAGGGGTGGAGGCACTGGTCTGCTTATCTCAAATGAATGGACATTTGATCCTTTACCATCTCTAACTGGCAACAATTCATTTGAATCAAACGCAATAACTATTACCAGGGCCAGCCTTAGATGACGCAGGGCCCGGTGCGAAGTAGGGAGCGTGGCCCCCCTCGGTCCGTTCGTGATCACATTCCGGGGGTGGGGGAGGCGGTTCGTCCTCGGTCTGTTCACGACTGCGTTCCGGGGGGGGATCCCCCTCGGTCCATTGGCGATCGCGTTTCTGGGGGGAGTTTTGGGGGGGGTCCCCTCGGTCCATTCGCCGCGGGGCCCGGTGCGACCACACCAGTTGCACCCCTCTAAGGACGGCCCTGACTATTACCCACCCGGTTAAAATCCACTTTGTAGTTGTTTATCGTCCCCCAGGTCAACTAGGTAATTTATTGGAGGAGTTGGATGTTACACTCTAACTTCACTGAAGACAATGCCGCTCTGGAACTACTCGGTGATTTCAACATCCACCTATAAAAACCCCAGGCTGCTGACTTCAACACTCTGCTTGCCTCATTTGACCTCAAGCGAGTGTCTACTACAGCTAATCACAAATCTGGTAACCAATTGGACCTTATCTACACACGCTATTGCGCCACTGACAACACTTTAGTTATTCTGTTGCACACCTCAGACCATTTCCTCATTACTTTTACTTTTAACCTCAAACTGACTCCTGACACAATACACACTCCTCCGCAGGTCACATTTCGGCGTAACCTATGCTCACTCTCTACCTCTTACCTATCCTCCATGGTTTCATCCTCACTTCCTCCACCCTCCCAGTTTTCAGCACCGGACACTAACACTGACAATCTTTGCTCCACTCTAACATCTTGCTTAGACAACTTTTGCCCCCTTTCATCCAGACCAGCACGCACCACCCCCTCTGCCCCCTGGCTGTCCGATGTTCTCTGTGAACATCGCTCTAGGCTCAGGGCTGCAGAGAGGAAGTGGCACAAATCAAAAAACTATACTGACCTTAGTTCGTATCAATCACTGCAAATATCTTCACTGGAAAAACGACATACTACCACACTCTGCTTGCCTCATTTGACCTCAAGCGAGTGTCTACTACAGCTAATCACAAATCTGGTAACCAATTGGACCTTATCTACACACGCTATTGCGCCACTGACAACACTTTAGTTATTCTGTTGCACACCTCAGACCATTTCCTCATTACTTTTACTTTTAACCTCAAACTGACTCCTGACACAATACACACTCCTCCGCAGGTCACATTTCGGCGTAACCTATGCTCACTCTCTACCTCTTACTTATCCTCTATGGTTTCATCCTCACTTCCTCCACCCTCCCAGTTTTCAGCACCGGACACTAACACTGACAATCTTTGCTCCACTCTAACATCTTGCTTAGACAACTTTTGCCCCCTTTCATCCAGACCAGCACGCACCACCCCCTCTGCCCCCTGGCTGTCCGATGTTCTCTGTGAACATCGTTCTAGGCTCAGGGCTGCAGAGAGGAAGTGGCACAAATCAAAAAACTATACTGACCTTAGTTCGTATCAATCACTGCAAATGTCTTCACTGGAAAAACGACATACTACCACAACAAAATTAACATTATCGTTCTGACTCTCGCACACTTTTTAAAACCTTCTCTTCTCTGTCCTCCTTCATCAACTCTTACAGCTGACAACTTTGCAATATTCTTCATAAATAAAACAATAATCAGCACACAATTCTCCACACCACAAACTGACAAACACATCATAACTACAAATACACACTCTCTCTCATTCTTCTCTTCACACTTGGAGGCAGATATTTCCAAACTTATCCTTTCCAATCATCCTAATACCTGTTTGCTTGATCCTAGCCCCACTCACCTCCTTCAGGCCATTTCTTCTTCAGTTATACATGCACTCACTAACATTATCAACAACTCTCTTCACACTGATACTTTTCCCACAGCATTTAAGCAGGCTCGGATATAGGGTTAGGCGATGTCTACAAAATAGGCATCAGACGATGTCTACAGTGAAACATCGCGATGGACGATGACATTGGGTGGCGGGGGTCAGGGGGGGTGCCCGAAGCGTGAATCTGTATTCAGAAAGGCACGGAAAACAAATAACGATTGCTAACGGTTGCCTGTTAAATTACAGTAGCTACATAAAATTTCACTTTCTGTTTATTTCACCACATAAACAGAGTTAGGAGAGACTGAGGATGATGGCGAATAATTTGCAAAATGTGTGGTAAGTACTCCCGCTAACAGAGTATGTGCAATCGCGAATCTCGAAAGTGAAAGTGAAACTAAAAAGAGATTGCGCATTCAAAAGCAGTTTCAATGCCAGGCATTATAGCGGCTCCCTGGTGCCCGCAATTTATATACAGTATAATTGCCCAATGATATACAGGTAACTACGACAGAAAATATTGAAATATATATTTTCCTCCCATCTCGTATTTATTCCCTTTAGGGGTTCCGTTGTACATGTCATTTTCAGTCCGAACACGGTATTGGTGC